CTTTAGTTTTGTGTGTTTCACTGTACATAAATTATATTTCAATAAAATGCATTAAAAAAAGAGAGAGAGAATGCCTCAACCACTAAGGCTGGAATATGCCAGATATGGGACAACGTAGGTATTTTTACTTTGGTGCACCCCAAAACTTGACTCTTTTCTTCTTTAAGGTCTTTGCGTGGGAGTTGCAAATTGATCAGTCTAGGTTGATAAGTTAGAAAGAGTTAAGGCAAAGTGTTTCCCCTTGCCCTTCATTCCTCTGGCTATTTTAAGAGCTACTCGAAAAAAAGAAGGTGACATGTTCCTCTGTTGTTACATGAGTCCTGACATTCCAAGCACAAAAGTGATTGAAGTAAAATCAGAACTATCTATCTATCCATCTATCTATCTATCTATCTATCCTACATTGTTCCAGCCTCTGCAGTAAAGGAATTCCCAGAAACAAAGCCTTGAATTTACATGATTTATTTTCCTCTCCTCTGCCATCATAAAGTACAAAGTTATTGGTAGAATACATGCCATTTGCATTCTCATTACTGGATGAGATGTTCCCCATCCTTGGGATCCAAGCTTTGGGAAAAGAGTTCTCTGCCCATACAGTGAAGCTCTCATTTGTAGAATAGGAGCACTGTTGCCTCGGTTATCTCCCGGCTATTGCTGGAACCAGCATGAGTTCCATATCCATCCCAGTCAAAACTAGAGAAATCCCCACACTGAGAGGGACTGGACTCTGGGAAGTATCCTCCTCCACCAATGCAATGCTGAAAAATAAGGACAGGAAGAGGGTAATGAGAGATCTACTGGTGAGGTCAATGACATATTAATGGCCAAATCCAGTGTAACCTTTGGTTCTCGTTCAAGTTGGCATCAACATCTCCACTGATGATGTTGAGCTCTTCCTCTCATAAAACTCTCCCTTCCTTTATCTTTAGTGATATTGTTCTCTTCTGACATTCCTCCAACTTTTCTGAACATTCATTCTCCCTTGGTTGGACTCTACCTTCTTGAATCTCTTGAGAGACTTTCCTCTCAGAGACTTCATCCCCCTTTGGCTTCTGTTACTAATACTTCACTGATGCTAACAGTCCAAATGCTGAAGACCTTAATATCCAACTGCTACTTGGATCTCTACCCCAGGCACCTCAAACTCCAACAAAAAGGAACTAATTATGTCCTTCATTGACCCCAAATCTTTTTCTCATCCAGGCACACTGACTTGATAAATGATACTCAATCACTTACAGGAAAAATATGAAGTAATTCTAAACTTCTTATTCCCCATCTATTGTATTCAGCTGGTCATAAAGAGCTATGATTCCATCACTTAAAATCTTTACAATTCATCAATACCTGCCCATACCCATGGGCACTGACCTAGTTCAGGCCTTCATCTAAACTACTGCATTTTTTCAATACAGTTATCTTGCCCCTTGCCTCTCCCTGCTAAAATCCGTCCCCATGTGCTACCAGGGTGATCTTTGTAAAATGCAAAGAAGATCAGGTCAGTCTTCCATTTAAAATGCTTTACTGGCTGCATTCACCTACTGAATAAAGTCCAAAATCATTGGCATAATGGAAAAGTACTTCCAGGACCCAGTTCCCACTGGCATTTCCAACATCAGACCCTGACTCTACCCAACATTTATTCCTTGCTCCAAAATTACAAGGCAGCATGCTGCTACCTCAAGTCATCATGTACTCTCAAATGTGAATTCACTTTTCATTCTACCTAAATTGCACTGAGATCTCATACATTTCTATACATATTGCAAGACTCAGCTCAGAAGTTACCTTTCCTGTAGTCATTGCTCCTAACATCTCCAACAAAGTTAAGTGTTCACATTGCCCTCACTTATGTTTCCATTATACCTCAGACCCATAAGATTATAAGTGTGTGTTTGTGTGAATGTCTGTCCTACAAGATGCTGAACAAAGACCATGTCATGTTTGTGTTTCCTGCATCAGCACAGACTGGGTACTGAATGCACACTTTAAGCAATAAATAGATGCATATAGGGACACACGCACATGACACACTTTGAGTGATGGTGGGAAGCAGCCATAGGGGCCAGGTCATCACAGACAGGGGCTATGTGCAGAGACCTCCTCCCTCAATACCCACAGACTAATCATCCTTCCATCACCATGTCTGGGTCCTCCTTGACAGTGAAGCTGCCTCATCCTGACTGGGAAAGTGGCAACCTGATGGATGAGGAAGGAAGGAAAGATGGAGCATTCAGGGTCACCTAAAACAGCCAAAGACCCATGCCACAAACTTAATTTGAGGAAGAGCGAGTCCCAAATGAACATGCTTTCTCTTGACAACTTGAACTCTGGGCAGCTTAGGGGTTCCTCATTCTTCCCTTGGCCAAAAGGCTGGTCAAACAACAAAAGTCTAAATATCTCTGGTCAAGAGGGGTCATTAAAGCTGCTGCAGGTGAGAGCCAAGTTCTTCTGCCCTTGGGGTCATTCTTCATGGTGACCTCTAGTCAGTGAGTTCTTGTGGTGGGAAGGAAGGTGGTGATCTGAGTGAGGTGTCCAGAACTCTTCCAGTAAACCCCCTAAGTACAGTGTCAGTCTGAACAAGCCCAAGTTAGGGTTGGGGATGTCAAGTTTTACTCTGAAATGCTAAGCCTCAAGCAGGGAATGACAACACCTCATATTTCTTGTGCAGTCACAGCTCTGGAAGACTTCTATAGAATGCTTCTATGCACAAGCCTCACCCCAACTCCAGGCAACTGAATGTTTTATCCTAAGGGCCAAGTAGCCAGCAATGGTATTTTTGAAGCCCCAGCCCTGTGTCTCAATCCTCAAAGGCACAGGATCTTGGTACTTGGAAAACAGGACTCACAGCTCTTACCCTTGAGACCCAGCAAGAAACAAGAGAAGGTCACCCACGCACACACTCCCACCACAATCCACATTCAACACATATACTCACAAACACATGCTGACAAACTCAAACCTTACGCTTTTGCCCTTGAGTCTCCACAGAGATTCATGTGCTCTTTGTAACATCCTGTGACTCTGATCTCAAAACATTGACTGCTCCCTCATTATTAAATACCCTGAACTTTCAAATATTGCTGTGAACTCCTCTGAAAACAAGAGGCAGGAAATGACACAACATTCAAGGAAGATGCTGGAAATAGCTCCCTATAGGCCAGCCCAGGAGTCCCTATGCCAAAGCTCAGGCTACAGCCCAACACTGCAACCTGAACTAGTATAGCCCAGCATCTCTGTGCCAGTGACTGGTACAACAACAAAAAAAAAAAAAAAAGTTGTCATCTAGTCATTTCCAAATCATAGCAACCCCATGTGTGTCTATACAGAACTGGGCTGTATAGAGTTTTCAACGGCTGTGATCTTTTGGAAGTAGCTCACCAAGCCTTCCTTCCAAGGCTTCTCTATCCCTTGCTAAGAGGCTCTGGTGGCACAATGGTTAATCACTTGACTGCTAACTGAAAGATTGGTGGTTCAAACCCACCCAGCAGCCAATCTGCTTCTGTAAACATTATTGCCTAGAAACCCTATGAGGCAGTTCTACTACGTCACATGGGGTCACTATGACTTAAAATTGATTCCACAGCACTTAACAACAACAGCATCCCTTACTGCTTATTGAACTCTGTACATGTATTGAGATATAACACAAATGTCACCCTCCCTGAAGAATCAACTATGTGCCACTAACAGGATATCCTCCATTGTGTTTCCAGAGCCTTTTGTTTATATTTCTATTCAGTTCATGGCACATGAGATTGCAATTATGCATTTCCATCTCTGCTCCACTCAATCTGAGCTCCTTATGGGGAAAAACTATGCCTAATATCTAGCACATAGTAGGTACAATAATTTTAAGGAAAAGTCAGTGCATGTCAGCATAGATGGAAAGACGCATTAAGAGTGTAAGATGCATGCAGTGTAAGAGGACGCGGAGACCAGTGTAGGAAACAGTTGTCAAGGAAGAGAGAGGGCATAGACACACCCCAGTCCATTGCCTGTATCCCATCATTCTCTGAAGCATAATGTATAGGGGCCCTACATATATGCATTCCCTTCATCCTGGCTGGAAAATGGAAAAATGTTGTCCGGGGGAAGTGAGATGGGCCTGTGACTTTAGGGTCACCTTCCAGGAACCAAGACCCATTTCTTAGCCTATCAGTTTGGGGAGTAAATTCTCAGTAAATTACTTCATTCTTGATGGCTGTGACTCCTTCCTGCCCCTACTCACAAAAGTCCCTCAAAGACACTCTCTCTCATACAAGACTCGGGGGGGGGGGTGTACTTTTAGAGGTTAATATTAACTTTGGACAATATCTTCATGACCTCAATATAGGAAAATATTTCTTAAACAAAACACAACTAAACCTTAAATGAAATATTGATAAATTGGGCTTCATGAAAATAAATTATATACAGAAGTCACCATTAAGAGAGTAAAAAGGCAAACACAAAGACATACACACCCCAGATGCATGCTCACACACACACGCACGCACACACAGCCCTGATCTCCCTGAAGACTCACATGCTCCGTGTTGCATCCAGTGACTCTCATCCCAGCACACAGGGCGTTGGCTGCTCCCTCATTATTGAACACCCTGAACTGGACAAATCCTGCAACAAATTCTCCTGGAAAAGAAGAGGCAAAGGAAGGATTGGAGGGTTCAAAGGAGGAAGTAGAAACAGCTTCCTTTAGACTGCTCAGGAATTCCCTACTCAAAAAGCTGAGGCTACAGTCCTGCACAGCAGTCTGTGGAATGGAGCCCAGCTCATCTGTGGCCAGTGGCTTGTGGACATGGTTGGGAGGGACCCTTTCTTCACCTCCAGAGACTGCAGAGGACACAGGTTTGGCCTCACAGAGGGCCCTAGTCTGCATAATGGCTGAAAGGGAAATTAAACTCTAGAGAAAATCATCATGTTGAACTCGAAAGGTACAGTGGGAATAAACACTTAACAAATGATTACACATTTCTCATCCAATTACATCTGTTTGTTTTCCCTATAATCATCTGCTTTCATTGAAATATCAAATGCAAATAGGAATGGTTTTTATTTACCCATCAAACACTTATCTTCTGTGGTTTTATTATACTAAAAAATGTACTCTTTTTAAATATAATTATAGCTATGTTTCATAATAAATATAAATTTCTCTCATGACTTTACTAGTTGTCTTTTCCAGTGAACATTAGCCCGTACCTTTTCTTAGCTACTAAGAGAAGCCGTACAGGGTGGTTAGAAATACAGGTTCTGGGTTAAGTGATTTAGTTTAGATCCTGGCTCTGCTGTTGATACAACTTGTATCTCTCAGCAAATCCCCTAATCTCTGTGTTCAGCCTACCAATCTGTAAAATAGCAAAAATAGTCATTCCAACTTCATTGGTTTCTCATGATGATTGAATGACACAAAACCATGTCAAGTTCCTAGGAAAGAGGCTGGGCCATTTTAAGTGCTCAGTAAATGTTTCCAATTGTTACTGTTGCTATTTATAATCTTTTCCCCAAGACTACAGCAGAGGATTGATGGCTGGGCTCAGGAAGCAAACACTCACCCCGACCATATGGTGAGTAATAAGATGCTGTTTTCTGAGCATCACCAAAGTCATAGACAACAGGTATCGCCGGGCCGTTGTCACTCCAACACTTCCCTATTCCGTATTTCACTGGGTATTTCTGCAAAGATCCAAATTGGAGGATGTGTGAAGACAGCAGAGATGCTGCCATCATCAGATATGAGGTGAGGGTGTCTCACTTCAAGTTGTTGTTGTTGTTGTTTGCCGTCGAGTCGGCCCCGACTCGTAGCGACCCCTCCTTGGGTTTCCGAGGCAGTATCACTACGGAAGTAG